TTTTTCCTTGGAACAATGGTTCTCAAGGAAAGTATATGTATACGTGTATGCATATAAGTCATTTCATGATAGTTATCCAAATAATAATGAACAGCAAATAAAAAGTTGGAAGTGAGGTTGAAGGATAAATGTCATTGTCCAACTAGAGTAGATGTATACATTAGCTAATAACTTCCTTAAAACCAGCTCCATAGTACATAACATTCTAGCTTAGTTCTTAAGAAATTGCTATGTATCTTTAGGATTTATGAATAGTTGAGGAGGAAATTAATATCAAATCCTAAATGTCATGAGTCTGCAATATTATCCCATTCATGGATGTCATAACGTGATCAGTGGTTAACTGGAATCATGGGTGATCATTCTGCCTCATAATTTACAGATATGGTCATGGCCCATTAATATAATTAGAATTTCACTTCACAAAGACTATTCTGGCATCAAAAGTATCTCAAGTTGATTTAAGAAATGTAAACTAACAGGGCATATAAAAACATTTGCTTTTCTTTTAACTTTTAATTCATACCCCTATTTCTCAAATTATTTTTTTTATTAAGGGAACATTGGTTTACAACATTGCATATGATTTAGATTTCAGTACAGGATCAACATCCCTTCAGGGGTTATATCATCCTCTGTTTTGCTTTACACAAAACTACCTCACAATTTACAAAGCCCTTTTACATGCACGATCTTAGCAACATTATGAAGGAGAAATCATAATCATTATTTTGATTTAGCAATACAGTATTATAGGAGCAACATAGAGGGTGTGGGTTTGAATCTTAGCTTTTATTTGACCTTATGGAAAGTTGGTTAAAATTATGACACAAAGAGTGAACAAAGAAAGACACCCCTATTACTGTGATTACAGCTTTGGATCACCCAACTGACAAGGCTGGTAAAATTTAAATATTCAAAATTTAAATCATCTACACACAGCCATTTCTTAGGAAATGTCCTAAGAAAAACTGTCATCAGAGAAAAGGTAAACCTCCTAACAGAGATAAAATGATTCTACTCATTCATGGACACATTTATATCTAAACGTACAATTAAAATACAAATACATATGCCATCTCAGATAATAATACACAATCATAATTGCTAGTTAATGGCATGAAAAAAATTTTCAGCTAAATACTGCAATTAACCCTGTTGTTTAAATCTAAGTGTTGTTTTATTTATGTAGCCCCATATTTGAGAAGTTACAGGAAACAAAAGTCTTTAGATTTTTAGTGCTTTTCATTTTGCAAAATACCAGAACTCTTATTTTCTCATGTAACATAAAACAGCTACTATCATCATTTTAAAGATGGAAAAACAATCCCCATATATTAAAAGCCTAGGTCACCTGAATTTTATAGAAAACGACCGATCTTTCAATTTTCAATAGCATTATGTCACGTTGACTCCCTAATATAAGAAAAACAACAATTTAAAGAGAACTAGAATGGAAAAATATTAGACAACATATATTCAGTAAGAGCTATCTTAGTAAACAGTTATAAGACACTGACCTATGTCCTCTCTGAATCTTGTTTCCTCATATGTATATGAGATGTTCATCAAAGAATTTTATTATGTATAAGAATTTGATTTTAAAAGGGAATTTCACATGGAATTCACTTTACAAAGTAAGGAAAAAAACTTTTTCACCACATTAATAAATTAATTTCCTTTAGTTCTCAAAATTAGGTTTCTATGTAATATGAAGCACCTGGATGATCACTACCTTATACATAGCATGTAATCAGTAAATATTTGCGTAATACTTAAATGACTGAGAGGTTTTCTATACTGGCATACACATATATACACATATAGATATAAAACCCAAAATAATACATCTGTTTATAACATTTATCCATGTAACAAAAAATAAGCATCTATGATATTTAAAAATTCCCCAATAAGGCCCTCCCTAGTGGCGCAGTGGGCTGGGACGCAGCGGGTTGGGATGCAGCACTGCAAGCTGGCCACAGCCGCTTTAGTTAAAAGTTTGATACCTGGCCCCGGAGGTGACCCACATGGTGTGGTGGACCTCTCCTGACCCGCCCACTATGGGCTGTACTTCGTCCAACTGCCTTTTCTGCTCCTACTCTGTCTCTGGTGAATCCTTTCACTGCACCTCTGGCTTGTACCCTAGTTCTGTATTAGTAAATAAATAAATCTTTTTTAAAAATCCCCAATAAGCCAAGAAGTCTTTTATGTGTTCTTATGAACTGATGTGATTAATGGAATTTTACTTTAGCATCTGAAAAATTATTGTAATATTTTAAATATCCTGACTACCTTGAAACACTGCCAAAGATTTCTTTTTTAATTTCTGGTATTTTCAAGCTGCTTGCTTAATATAGATATTCTGCAATTCCAGGTGCAATAGTGACATGCCCACAAATTGGAAGACTTCCATAAAAACCTTAGTCTCCCCAAATTATGGGTAAAATTTTTCAGTTTTACTCTTTAGCTGGTTCTATATAATTTCAGAATCTGTCCCTTTTTCTTCAACTTTGCCATTAATTTTACTATTCTAAGCAATAAAAATTCTTACCAACTGCTTTTTCTATAAATTTATAAAGGAAAATGTCAATTTCTCTTTGCTAGGTCTTCTTTTGGCTGTCATCTCTGGGGAGAGAGAAGTGTTGTTATGATGTGTGTCAAGAACAAATAACTGAGTTAAAATGAGAGAGAGGGAACATGGCAAATATGTTCCTTTTGTGGATTTACTCCAACTAATTTGTGCCTGGAACACTATGTAAAAGGATTCTGAGTCTGCATCTGGAGACACTCCAGAGGAAAACCAAATAAGAACAGTTCAGAGAGGTAAGTGGAGAACCAGTAAATTTCAGTGTGATAGCTGCCTACATTTTCAAGTAAGGAAAAATAGTATCACATGAGTAGAGCAGTAATATTAAAATGAAAAATGACTATTAGATTGAGCATTCGGGAGATCACAGATGTTCCTAGTAACAACTGTTTAAGAGAGCTGTGAGGGAATAAGTCAATAAGCTAAGGAGAAAATGAATACTGACACAGAGACAGCAAGTATACTGACATGCTGGAGCTGCAGAGTCAGTAAATAAGATGACTTAAGAGTGAAATATTTGATGTAGCAAAAAAAAGAGTGACAACCAGGTGGATATATTGAACTAGCCTGGAGAAATGCCCCACCCCTTAAAAGCTATAGGAAAGGTTAAAATAGAAAGAAGAATTCCTGTAACTAAATTTGTATTAAAGAGTCCCAAATTTAAAAATTTCAATGACATATGAGGTAAGGATCTGTTTTAGGTGATGGGGAAAGAAAGTTAAGAAGGAGAATGAGAACTTTGGGTAGAGAATGAGAGAAAGAGCGAAAGGGTGTCAAGCAAAAGTATTAGATAGTGCTGACTACTTAGATGACGTTGGAAATAATGATTTTAAATTAATCCATATATTGGTTCCTTTTTTCTTACAGTAGTAGACTGTGCCCTGGGATTGCATTTTACAGTGACAGAGCAGAAAGACAGGGACATAGAAGAGGTCAAATATGAGAAGTTTTTCACTTAATCAACTGATAAAAAGTAACTGATTTTCACTTTGGGGGATGGCGAAACTCCCCCCAGAAAATTCTGGTCAGATTACTGGGTGCATCATTTTAGACACACCACAGCATTTTAAGATTTGCAGTATTCCAGACAACCTTTACATTGTTCTGATAATAGAAAGTTTTGCAACAGAAGTAACTTAATATTCATTACATTAAACATTTCTGCCTAAAAATGAGGATTATCCACCTACCAGTTTTAGGTTTCTACATCCACAGATTATCTTGGAAAATTAATTTTTATTGCTTATCTGTTTTATCTATGTTTTTAATGTTTAGTTATGTGTCAGGTCAGCATCAAGTCATGCTTAAAGTAATGAAAGTAACACATTTCTAATTGCTTAGTTTCTTTTGAGGTAATAAACACAGAAACACTGATACAATCTAATCCTTTCCTTGTGCTACTTGAGTATACTACCACTTAAATTACTTTGTAGCCCCAAAACATGAATATGGTTCTGGATGTAATGAAAAATTCTTCTTATTGTGGTCTTATAAAATATAAAAAGCAGTACTAAAGACATGAACAACTATAAACATTTTTCTAGGAAAGACTGCCCCCTTGTGCAAATTAACAATATTCCACAACTAAAAAGAACATGAATAACCTACTTCCAATACTAGAAGCAACAAGATTGCTAAAAAGTCTTGATCTTTTGTGTTATCTCAGCAGCTTATATTCAATTATCTGAACAGTAAACTCATTGTGGTATTTAATGACATTCATTAGCCACTATCAACAAAATTCATTACACTAGTGCTCATGGATACTAGTTCAAGTGCTTAAAAGCTAAGCTCACAGACATATATAACTTTTCTGAACCTTATTTCTACAATAAAAACAAAATATTGAAGAACTAAACTACAATGAAAACATGTCAGACAAAAAAGTAGATGAAACAGGATGAAATATGTTAATTTGTTTAAAATGTATTATATATAACTAGCTCACCTTAGTTTTTTTTTTTTACATTTTCTTTTGAATTCTTGGAAACAAGGTATTCCTTGGGATCTGAGGTATAGCCAATTATCCTTTAAAGTTTCTTGATGTGCAGAAGTGATCACAGGTTCATCAAACATTAAGTCATTGTAACATTATCACTATTATTAGTAATACTAATCTATAATGGACGAAAGTATTAGAGCAAAGATTTGTTAAAGAAACATTAAAATGATAAAAAAAAATGCAGGTAACAAGTGATAGGAATGCAGATTTTTGATACTTGATAGCATAATATCTTAATTAGGTCAAAATAGTGCAGCTTCATTTCTGTCAAAGTCATTAGAAGAGTTAAATGCATTAGCATTTGACAAAGTATATCCTATAATAAACACCATAAAATATATGTTATATACGTAAATGAGTTAATAAGAATGCAAGTCATATAGTATGCATGTATTCAGTAATACCTACTTCCGCAGATGGTCATGTTCTTTCAAAAATAGTTCAGTTCTTCTGTTGTTGACTCCAGATCCACTTTTATATGACCTAGAACAAATAGAGAAACTTTAAGAACATTTTAGGGTAGATACTGCAGAAAAAAAGATTAAAAGGTTAATTCTAGTAATATCCAAAGTAGACAAATTAAGCTCCAAAGTTTTGAAGTCACCTCCTTCTGACATTTAATAAATATGAATACCTTTGCTAATTTAGACCTAAGATTTGGTGAATATTATTATTCACCAAAATAATACAATATCCCCCCCTTTTTTAATAATCTAGAATTTTTCAGTAAAAAACTTCTTTATTATCTCATATCTTTATTTTCTCCCAGTGGAAGTAAAACATTGGGCTGATTAGTACACAGTACATGGATGGGAAAGCTACTGAAATGGTATATGCAGTGCATCAACTGAAGCCTCAAGATCCCTGAAATGAAGCAAAAGATTGAAATCACAATAAAAATTTTGGAAATTCTCAAGTAATTTGATATAAAGCTGTGTTTATATAAAATATGGCACACTTAAAGATTCTATCATGATTTGAAGTGTATTACAATTTACAAGAAAATGCTTTAATCATTACTAAGAACACTTTTATGTTTCTGCTCTTAAAATGCCATGAACAAAATTCTAAAAATCAAGTAACTGCACATACTGTAGTAAGACAAAAGAAGGTCATGCTACTAAAAGTAAACTATTGCTGAGGCTCACATGTGCAAAGCAGTGGAAAAAACATCAGGAAAAGCAACAAGATAACATGAGAACACACTGAACTGGAAGACTGATAATTTGAATTTGCATCTATACAACTTCATTTACTAGTAGGTTAACCATAAAGTCTCATAGTAGTTTTATAAAAGTGAAATCATGCCGGGCCCTTCCTGGTGGCACAGCAGGTTAAAGCACAGCACTGAGAAAGCCACTTCAGCATGAGTTCGATCCCTTTCCTGCCCCAGAGCTGATCCACATGATGCGGCAGACTTCTCCTGACCCACCCACTGCTCCTCTCAGACGTGTACTTTGTTAGTTGGCCTGTTCTGCTCCCCACTCTGTCTCTAGTGAATCCTCCCTCTGCCCCTGTACCTCTGGTCTGTACTCCAGTTCTGTATGCATAAATAAATAAATTTTTAAAAAAACGTGAAATTGGGCCCTCCCTGGTGGCGCAGAGGGTTAAAGCACAGCACTAAGAAGCTAAAGCCACTTCCGCATGAGTTCGATTCCCGCCTGCTCTGGAGGAGATCCACATGGCTAGGCAGACCTCTCCTGACCTGCCTGCTGCTCCCCTCAGCAGTGTACTTCGTCCATCTGCCTGTTCTGCTCCCCTCTCTATCTCTGGTGAATCCTCTCACTCTCCACATCTCTGGCTTGTACCCCAGTTCCATATGAATAAATAAATAAATCTTTTAAAAAAATGTGAAATCATGCCAAAATACTACATAAAGCTAAAAGACATGGTACATGGAAATTATGTATGTATTACAAAAAAAAAAAAACATGAAAGTGTCAATTATTTGTATATTTCATTTCATGAATTAATAACCTGCCTCATGTTAATTTGAGCACATGCCTCCTTTACTTCTCTAGTACCTAGATTATAAACTCCTATAGGATCAAAGATTGGTTTTTTTCTTTTCTACCTTTTACTGTGACATAGTATCTTATTCATGGTTCATAATCAATAAGTTTAATGAATGGGTGAACATGTTTCTTTTATGATCATTCAGAAAATAAATTATTATGGTGAGCTGTATTCTAGTAATTTCCACACATTGCTGGGGGACTAAATGCCTATTACATTAAAGGTTATCTCCTATATTGGTTCTCAATGTATTTTTAAAAATATTTATGTAAATACACTGTACAGCAATGAAAAGATTTACATGCTCCCGAGAACTAAAAATATTATTATAAATACCTAATTATGGCAAACCATTTTAAACTTCTGTATGTTATGCAAAATAGACAACTCAACATAAAAACAGATAAATGAGAGAAAAATTAATTTTCCAAGATAATCTGTAGAGGCAGAAACCTAAAACTGGTAGTTGGGCAAAAATGTTTAATGCAATGAATATTAAATTACTTCTGTTGCAAAACTTTCTACTGTCAGAACAAAATAAAGGATGTCTAGGAAAATGTTACTCAGAATATACATCAGATATATCAGTTGTGATATGGTGACATATATGAAAATTTATGAAATATTAATTATTATAAATTTATCACAAGTGAGACAGTGGGCATCAGTAGATGACCCAGAAGTGGAAAGTCTTCTATTTTAATTAGATGACTCTAATCCCAATGGATTTAACCTTGTCAGTCATGTTCAGTTGTGAAAAAAGGTCAAAATGAGATGAAATGCTAAAACATATCATTGAAGAAAATGTAAAAGGATAAAAGAACAAGTTTTTTAAATTATGGATTGAGATCAGGATAAAAATGTTGGAAATCCTTAAATAATTTACATAAGGCTAAAGAGTTTGTAAAAAATTGGAAAAATCAGGTATTTCAGACTCCAGGGACGTAAAGGCTACTCTGACAGCTCCTCAGTAATTGGCGGGCAAGGGAAAGGAGAACATGGAGAGCATCAATTATTTGGTAACATCATTTTCAAGGCAGGTGGCAGGAGATGAGAAAAAAACTTAGGAATACATCATGCAAGCTGGACTCTGAATTAAGACAGGAAAGTCAAGGTTGGCAGGAGCCAATTATAAAATTAGGGGAAACTGGAGATAAGACTAAAGCAGATTAGGACCATGTGTAGCAACAATGTTTAGTGAAATGGAAATCAGAAATCTTGAAATCTGAATCATGGTTCTGCTACTTAATTTGATGTCAATTATGAATATATTCTAAATATAAACCTGAGTAACTGTCCTACAAAATAATATAAGATGCAACTTACTCAATATCCTTTCGTACAGATCCCATGAGATTCTCCCTTTCCCGTATTGCCATAAAGTTTGCTTTGGTTTTATGGAATTCATGTGTATAATCCTGCAATAAAGCAACAGAAGGTAATTATATATCTTCATCCTATTCAACCAGTTATTAT